GTCAAAACTCATTAGCCTCAGCCGCGATATTACCATAAGCTGAAGTGTTACATTACAGAGTAAAAAAATACGTAAAGCATTAATAAAAATGAGAAAAAGGAATATCCTTTCCGTCGTGTCAGAAGGAAAAATTTAAATATCTTTCATCGTTACTCCAATCGGTCTAATCTCATCTGGAGTTTCGAACTTGAATTTATGCATCGATCATCGAGCTAGATCATCGTCCTCGCGACGATGTGAGTGACGTGAGCGCGATTAACGAGGCTGATCGCTCGGATTTTGGCGCCGAACGTTATAAAATGCGACGCGCCACGATCTCTCGGACGCGAAGATACGGATCTGGCGAAATATTATGTAAATAGAGGCGTGCGTTAAAACGCGCGCGATCTACAGCCTGCCTCTCCTGCCTTACCTGCCTACTTTGCCTGCCCGGCAGGAGATACCGAGTGGATGTAAAAGGAGCATAAAGTAACATTTAGCGCGCGCGCTTAAACGAAATTGCTGTAATCCCCGGCCGAGGCGGGCAAAAGCGGGGAAAAGAATCGCGAGCGAGGGGGGCACGACGGGGGACGCGGGAATAGAGGGAGGGAGCGAGAGGGCATTAACATACCGATTTACATAATGCGTATAATTCGAGCAATTATGAAGGGAAATATACACAATTTAGTATAATGGCGGATGTTTAGGGCCGGCGCTATATCTACCGCGGGAGATCTCTCCGGTGTGCGACTAGAGAAAGCGCATGACGAGGAACCCCCCTCCCCCCCCCTCCCCTTCCCTTCCTCCCTCCCTCTCGCATTGCTACGTGTACGTAGACGCGCGGCCTAGTCGCCGAGAAAGGAAGATGATCGTTCTACCGATCGTTCCAGCTCGCTTCGTTAGAATCGAGGGATGGACGAGTTTAAGCGCGATCTAAGGCCACCTAGCTGACAGAGTCAGATCGCCGTGTCGTTGTTGTGTACGAAATGCAGCGAGAACACCCGTGAGATCCCGATAGTACGCCTATCCAGATTGGCAGGAAGCTAGATAGCGCGACGAGACATTTCGAAATTACAGAGCGCATTTTCGGCGGATACGAGAGCGCAGTGTAGGTAGACGCGTGTGGTATTTCCAGCATGTGATATTTACATGCTGTATATCTAACATTATTATCTCGATCCTTATACAGCCGGTGCTATAATTGCTCGTGCGCTTGACTTTGAATGATGGCGTCATAAAAGCGAACTTCCTCCGCTTCGCCACGCTCGTCGTGTCTTTCTTGCGAAACAACGCGTCAATTTATTTTATTTAATGAAATTTCGATTGCCCAACTGTAATAGCTAACAATGTAATAACGCTCGGCTATTATTTCGGATTCTTTTTATGGGCGATAAAAGAAAATTTATTCCATCAACGTTAGCTCTGAAGGATATCGATGCGGTCATTCTTTTGTCTTAAGATACTTATCACATCGCTACCAATTACTAACTATTGTACAATCTTTTGATATTCAGAATTACAGACTACAGATTTGAAAGGGCGATAACAATCTAATTATATATAATTCTATAATTAATGCGATCTGTTCTATCGGGCGAGAAGATTTGAAAAAAATGACTTAAAAAAATGGAATATGCATATTAATCGTATAAATGTTTCAAGAAACTTGACGGCTGAATCGTCCCTCTTCAATCACGAAGACATTCGAAAGAGTCTAATGACAAGGCATCTTCACGCCATCTCTCACTCAGAAGGACGTTGATTGATATGAACTGGCATCTCTAGCATACTTTAATTTGTGTTTTTCACACGACAAATATGAATTTTTCCAAAGTGGCTGATTAACACGTTTCTCGTTCGAGCTGTCAGGCACCGGCATAATTATGACGAAAATATTGTGCGAGATAAACATATCTTTCCGCTCCTAATGAATAAAAATGTAAGAGATAAAGTAACAATGTAGCTACTTTTTAACGAAGTGCATAATGACCGCGCAAATTTCCTGCTCGTATTTTCCTGCGTTCCTCGCGCGCGTTTAACACTAAACATACATATCTATAAAAACATATTCCACTTACTTATGTACGTTTTTAGTATACTTCAGATTGATTTGATATACAGATATACGTAATCATAGTCATAATTATGTATGTCTTACGTACGTCTTAATAAGAAGGAATTACCGATGTGTAAAACGTACAATTTACAATTTGGCCGAATCATCGAGTACTTAATCTCGTACTTAATCTCGTTGATTGGCGTATACAAGTCTTCTCGCGCAGAGAATATCACATTATCGCGAAATGGTCTTCCATCGTATCGCACGCGATATCGTAACAATCAGACGATCACGATTAATGGTAATATTTCTGGAATTCCACGTGAAATGTGTTCACCGAAATACCCGGATAACGGTTCGTGGATACGACTAACGAGAGACGGGCCACGTTTATCAGTTGTACAGTACAGTACGCGCGTACGCGGTCTCATTCCAATTAGCGTTACAGGCTGAGCTAATTGCTCGATATAAATCGCCACGACTTAAAAAGTGAATGAATAATTAGGCGGGGCCGCAGGTGTTCGACTTCACATATGCGCGTTTGAATTATTTTAACGCAATTCGGAGATCCCGATTCTAATGATGCACGGCGCCTCTTTCTCGTTATTATCGCCGGCGGTTAATAAGAAGGGACGACCCGCTCTTTATGCGCGTTCGCTGCATCACGCTCGCAGCTAATAGGGCCCATTAGCGTACGCGAATCGCACGACGATCGCACGTCATCGACATTTAAACGGCAATTATCGAAAGCGAGACGGAGGATAACTTGTCTCTTCGATTAAAACGCTTCGTCCGACGCTACTTTCAATCAATATACTTTTTGCATTTTTTTCCTTGCGTAATATTAGTCTTTTATTAATTTATTAAGTACATTCAAAAAAGTGCTTGTCGAAATGCCAGCGTAGCGGGACTTCGCGTAATTTAATTTTTTTTATAATCATAAACGTCGGTCGGTGGATCAGAGTGGTACGGTGGTAAGACGACGGTGGCTGGAGGGTGGAGGCTCGAGGGGGTGAGAGAGGGCGCAGGAGGACTGTCTGACTGACTGACTGACTGAAGGAAAAGGAGAACGAGGAAGAGAAGTCCGTTTGAGACTCGCGCGTATCTCAAGATCTATCTGAATAATAACGTGTACGACAACATGTCAAATTATACAGAACCGCGACACACACGCAGATCCCTAAAACTCACACATTCGCGTGCGGCCGCATACGTACGTCCGTGCGTGCGTGCTCGCGTGCGTGCGTGTCGCGCGTTCGCTCCCATGTCGGCATCGGCGGACAGGAGGGAGCTCCGGGGGAGGGGAGGGGAGGAGGTGGTACGGAGGGCGACATGTGTTTCGCGGTGGCGGTGACTCTCTACAGCAGTTTTATAATTGCCCGACTCGTTGGATATCGTGCCCGCTCGTTGGACGAGATTCGCGAAACACCATTGCGTTTCCACCGACGGGAATCGAGTCGATCTTAACCCCGCAATCTGCCCTTCCTCCTCCCTCAATTATTGCCTTCCTCCGCCAGGGCCGCTGCTTGTTGAAAAAAAAAATTTTTTTCTACTTCGAAGCTTCTCCCAAAGAGAATTCTACAAGGTGTTCTGTTACAATATCATATGCGGAGGAGGAGGAAAATGATTTGAATAAAATGTGAACATTCATATCTTACGAAAGTTACAAAGAGTTTCTAGAGCTTTGGTGCTAGCTAGTTTAGTCGGAAGCTTACGTTTGCAGTCTTGAAAAATAGGAAAAAATCTAAGTACTCCGCTTGAATGAACTTTGTATAAACTTGGGAAGTGGAGAAATCTACTTTGATAGAAATCAGATCTTTCGAATAAGTCATCAACGCTTTTTACACGCGGTTCTTGCAAGTTGCACCCAGCGTCGCACGGTAATCCCTTCTAACTAGAAGGATATGACTGTTCTTGCCTTACGACTTAGCCGACCCTGCGCATTTTCCACCATCTCGTCACGGAGCTACCGGTGACAATTAAATCACAGCTCCCGCTTGATCATGACGGATCGCCGGCGCGGTCTCGCGCGTGCGTCGTTGCACGCTTCCGACTACTATTTTGCCTTGGAAATCTACTCGAGTTTTCCAACGTCTCTCGGCGGATCGCACAGATATCGCGATCCTTGTTCCGATGGTCTGCACGCGTAGTCCAACTCTTAAGCCTTATTTAAGCGACACGGTATTCAAAGCGATACTCACGTGGAAAGAACGATTTTGCTGAAGTCTAAAAATCTGCCTGAAGATAAAAATCTGAAAATAATTTTGTCGGGCGTAATTATATAAAACGTTAAGTGATGATGATAACGCTGAAGCTTTTTGTATTCTCAGCAATCAATCTGAATATTCTATATAATTATTTTGTTGACCAAACAAGATTATTTTCAAATCTCTGTATCTGTCAAATTTTTAAATACTTTAGCAAAATTCTGTTCTTTTCATGTTCACAAAAGATGTAACAGAGTCGAGAGTATGACAATGTATGGCAAAGTGGCGTCGATGTTATGATTTTCGAGAACGACATCGGCGCGTTAAAAAAACGGAAGTTCGAATAAGCCTTTATGGTACGGCGACATTATGCCATATCGCCTGGCCATCGCCGTCCGGTACACGATCGTCGGCCGCGAACCAATGGCGTGATTGCTGCCTGTCAACAATCGTCGACGTATATACCGGCGATAATTCGTCTCCACAATCGCCGGTCCGCCGCAACGCGGTAATGACAACGATGATGGATCTGCGGCGCGACGCTGAACTTTGTTTGCTCGGGTGGCCACGCGACGTATATGCAAATCGTGCTTGCGCGTTTGCGCTATATAAATAAGGTCTTAATTAATGCTAACGAGGCTGACGCGTAGATACGTGTGTAACTATCGTCTTTTCTGTTTCACGCCTCGTGCCCGCCTGCCACGCATCCCGGACGGACGGACGGATATATGCATACTCATCGTGGATCACCGCAGTATGTAAGTGCGATGTTTTATTAATATTTTGTTACGATCATTTATCATGTACCACGAGGAAGTCACGTGCGTGGTCGCCAATACAAAGGACAACCGAATTAGAAATGATTAACGGCAGTTTCAGATTAGTGGATAGTAATTTATCATCGGAAATTAGAGAGAGAGACTGATTAAAAATTGTCTACCATTGTACGCGCGCGCGCGAACAGATCGGAGCTCTGTATATTTTGACTTGAATAGAAAATAGCGAAAATTGACCGCTGCCATTATTCCAAGAAAGTACGCGCTCACCGGCTTTCGCGGGAATTATCTCGTGGCCGCGCCGAGAAATCTGGACGAGCACTCGTTCTCCCAATTATCGGTTATCGTCAATCGAAATTACTTTATCGATCTAAAGCGCTGCTTTATTAGCCTCGCCAGCCTGGCCAGCACGGCGGCTTTCGATTACTCGGCAATATCGGCTTGTCTGATGTTGGCGCTGCTTTCATTATGTGGAATATGAGCCCGTGCTAGAGCTCTCCTCTCGGCGACCCTTCGGCGCCGCCTATCTTTTCACCTTTCTACCGGCCACTCGTACCGATCCGCGCGATCAGCTCATGTCTGGAATTTCTTCGCGTAAGTTTCCGCTCAAATCGGTCATGCAAAGTTTCCTTCGTCGTAAAATTGGAAAGCATAATTTTTCAGAAAAAAGAAAAAAAACAAGTTTCTGAACTTGTTCTTAAAAAAAAAAAAAACGTATCACGTCATCATTTTTCTTTTCATTTTTTGACGCATTTAACATATTTAATAGCGCACACAGATATATCTCTCGTTTAGAACGCGAGATATCTATGCGGTTGACTATGAACAATATGACCGTGGCTTGAAACACGGCGGAAGAATGGCAGGGGAGGGAAGGTAATCAGGTATATGGCGGAACGTACGGAGGATTCGTATGGGGTCCACGGGCACCCATGAACCGTGGACTCTGCGGCCTGCGGTACTGGGCCGAGAGTACGTCGGGGCTTGGGGTTAATACGGTGGCCGGTGATGCACGACCGACGCAACGCTGCGGGCAGAGCGGCTGACCGCACGCCAGCTGCCCAATGCCGGTCCGACCTGCCCGCAAAAATCTGTAGCTGACCCTTGTGCCCGCGCGCGGAGAGTTGTTGCGCGCCGCCTCCTCTTCCCCGAAGCCGGCACCCTCCGTGTATCGTGTTGCGTCCTCTCGCATTCGGGATATTACTCTTGTACGCAGCTATATCGGCTCGCTCGGTCCATCACTTAATACCATACAGGGTGTTTCCAAATTGCTGCCGGGCGAAATGTCCAAGGACACTCTGCGCTCCAAACTAAATGGAAAGTCCTGGTAAACGTGGCCGCTTGTCCGAGAATACCGTTTTAATCGAGTCGATCAACGTCGAAAGAAAAGAAATATATATATATATATATATATATATATATATTCTATTAAATTTAAATG